CTCCTGTATAGTTTCTGCTTTACACACTAGAGTCACGGGGTTATTGTTCTTGTGCTGCGTCCGTCCCCTGTGCCTACGGCATCATCAGATCTAGCCACATGAAAGTCATCTGAGAAAGTGCACCGCTCTCGCAGATCACCGGCCTTCATCCCTGCGCGGTTGTTACCATAGCTGTGTGCTCAACCTGGCGTGAGAGCTGGTTTGGGTTCGTGCTCCCGTATGTCATCATAAGTATTCAGGATTTTGCTCAGCTCTGCAGCCTGGTGGCCAAATATCCTGCCTCTTCATTTTGTGCTGCAATGTTCTTAACTTTAAAAGGCCTATTACAGAAGCTGATTTGGGGGATAAAATGAGCTTACGTCCATGAAAGTACTTGGTAAACTTATGAACACTATACACATAAAGTTTAGATGCCCAGTATTTGAGTTTGCTTTGGCTCTTGTGGATTATTTTACCTTGATTTCCTGACAAGTGCCGAAATGGAGTAACTAACGGGTTAAATTCTTGATCTGCCTCATTAAATTTAAAACTTCAAAGTAAACGATGAATTTCATTTGCTAGAGGCATTTCTAAGAGTATAACTTACTTCAAAGGTAGCGATTTTGCACACACATTTTGTGTTGCAATAACTACTCAATATATCACCTCGGGGTCGTTAGGATAGAGCTGCTGAAGTTTTTAAAAAAGTAGAACCCTTTACCCCTAAAAGTGTAAATAAGATAGAAGGGAATCATCCTACATTGACCCGCCCTCTGAATGTGGCAGGATCCCTAGGGTGGATTTAGCGCAGCTGTCTTTGAGAGGGACCCTCTAGTTGGTCCCTGCTCACAGAGTGAATGTAAAACAAACAAAACCCGCCCAGTTCTGTGCCATCCTCACCATCACTGTGGCGTTGGAACCGTTGTCACAGCTACTGCTAACAGTCCACCTCATTGAGAACCTTCCTCGTTTCACTACCCTGATGTCCTTCTCTGGGGACTGGTCCTTCCTCATAACAACACACCCAAAGTCCAGGAGGCAGAGCCTTGCCCTTCTCCGTCTAGGGAGCATTCCAACTGCACTTCTCCAAGACAGGTTCGTCCACTGGTGTAGTGGCCTTTTATTCTTTAGTGGTAGGAGGAGGCTTACATTTCATCATCTCTTAATTTCATTTTTTCCCACAAACTTTTTGAGGCCTCCTCCTATAGTCAATATTTTTAACTAATGTTTTTAATTCAGAGACATCAACTTGTCTTCACTCTTCCATATTCATTGTCCATCTTTTATATGCATATGAGGCAGGTGGAAAGATTTACCTAGTGCAATGTACCATTGGATTCCTTGTTTGAACCTTCCACGGGTGTCGCCTGTGGATCCAAGTCAGACGGCATTCTGTACACCTTCAATCTTTTCTGTGCTTATCATGATATTCTTTATTGGTCTACTTGAGGGGATTTTTATTTTCTTCAGTTGTAGGTGTAATCCTTACTGAAGGCTGTACTCTGTCGTCAGATCAATTCTCCCTGACTTTCAGCAAGCAAGGTGGTACTACCGTGCATATCACCGGTTGTTAATGGTGCATTGTTCTTCAGATAGTCCAATTTCTTGGATCATTTTCCAAACATACAGATTGAATAAGCCGTATGAAAGGATGCGAACCTGACGCACACTTTGCCTGATGTTAAACCAGGCACCATGCGAGGGTCTCTTGAAGGAGCCCTGGTAGCATAGTTTACCACAAGGCCAGTAGTTCAAAACTCCCTGCTGCTTCCAAGGAGAAAGACCACGTTTTCTACTCCTGTGAAAAAAAGTTACCGCCCTGGAAACCCAGGGAGCAATTCTGCCCGTCTAGTAGACTCACTGAGAATCAACCAACGTGATGGCAGTGAGTTTGGGTTCGTTTTTCCGGAGCCTTCTCTTGTTTGGTTTGTGGAACCGCCTGTGGATCTGTAGACACGTTTTCCACGAGCACAATCAAGTGTTCTGGGATTCCCATTCTTCTCAGTGTTAGCCATAGTTCGTCACAGGCAAATTTCTCTCCACGGGCAATAAAACACAAGCAAGCATCTTGCTGGTATTTCTTCAAGTACCATTTATTAGAATGGTTACTCATGCGGCAACACTTCTCTAACTATCATGTACTTTAAT